TTAATATGAATTGCATGTAGAACCGCTGTTTATATGTGTTTTACTTGCTTCCGCTTTGTAGGTTCATTGTTGAGCTCGATGTTGGGGAGTGGGCGAAGTACAAGTGGCGGACTGGATTCAAACAGTGAAACCATTTGTTGTCTGACCCTAAACGCTCTTACGCATCTCTTCTCATGGGTGCCGTTATCCTCCTACATCACGTCTAACTTGGTAGCTGCATTGTTCCGACTAGCTAGTGTTTCTCAGGTACTTGATCATTTGTATTAATTTCAAGAAACTAATTCTCCTCAGTGTCACAGTGACTGAAGCAGTCCTTGGTTATCATAAGTCTTGTCTTTACATATGTGCCCTCGTTGCATTGTGAATAAGGTACAGTCGTATCACATAGGTGAGGATTCAGGTTCTTGCAGCGGCAGGTATGATTGTGACTGTCTTCCGGGACGTGACTGAAGCAGTCCTTGGTTATCATATCTTGTCTTTACATATGTGCCCACGTTGCATTGTGAATGAGGTACAGTCATATCACATAGGTGAGGTTTCAGGTTCTTGCAGCAGCAGGTGTGATTGTGACTGTCTTCTGGGATGTTGCATCATGTAGTCTCATAGAAACTGACCAGCGATGGATGCAGTAAGCACCTCTGGAATGTCAGTCCCTTTCTTCGAGTCTACGGGGCGCAATTTCCGAGAAGACGGCCATGTTAACTAATGTCACCGATTTTCATAATTCTACTTATTCCATCGGATAATTAATGTCTCTGTAGCTCTTTCAACCCTCTCAATAATTTACAATTATTAATAATATACCCCTTCTCTAAAAACCTTCAGCAAGAGTGGTGTGATTTTGAACTAAAAAAATATTTGGTTATAGGGATTGACGAAACCCCAAATGTCCTCAAGAATACTGCCGTCTTGGCCAGAAGAGTTTGGAATTTAATGTAATAGACAAGTTTTATAGAAATGCTGTTTAATTTCACATTCAAGATCTCTCATCCATTGCTTAATTAGTAAATGTTTGAAGTTTGAATATATATTTAAGGCAGATTTGTTCTTTTTTGTCTTACTTTGTAGCTGGTTGTTTTGCGGTTTCCTTATTCCGCACTACTCAAGAATGTAGTTTGTGAAGTGCAACCACTCCAATATGAGTAATCAGATATTTTATATAAGCAGAATTTAAGAGATATTTGTAAATAGAAAAATATGATTCTGTATATGTGTTCCATAAATTATGTTTCATATACATTACTTACTCTTTGTGAAAATTTGAAGGTTTCATAGATGTGTATTTATCGAAGTGATAATGAGTTTAATAGACTGTATTTATTTTATTGATTTTCTTTTATTTTTTTAGGGAGTATCTCAGAATGAAAACCAAAATGTAGGGACTCTTGCTATGGGTGCAATCAATGAAATAATGTATAAAAATTGTGTGCCAGCTTCATGCGAAGACTTTTTGTTGAATATATTCCAGCATGCAATGCAACTAATGCAAAGTTTGATACATTCCGGGGCATTGGAACATGTAGATGGAAGGTAAGCCATTGGATTTGATATTATTAAACTGAACTACCTTTAATACAAAACCAGCCGAGCGTTAGGCCATGGATGAAATCTCTAACGGAACGACCTGTGAAGCTGTTGCTTGTGACTGAATATTTATCTGAAAAGGGCCAGACTAATCCCAGGAGGAGCACAAATCCGTCTTCGTTACTTTCTTTGACGTGAAAGAAAACAGATTTTGTTTTCTGCTAAGTAATTACTTTTCTGTTGTCCGATTTCTTGTTAACTGGTGCAATATGAGGTTCACATGTCTTCTATGGTGCCAAGGAGAATGTTTGTTTTCTGTTGTCCGATTTCTTGTTAACTGTTGCAATATGAGGTTCACATAACTTCTATGGTGCCAAGGAGAATGTTTGGACCCAAGAGAGATTATAAGAGGATAGAAAGAATTAAGTAATGAAGAGTCATAAATTGTATTTTCTGCAAAATTTTGTTAGAGTCATGAAATCTTAGAGAATGGGATGGGCAGGACATGGAGCATGCACGGGGAAAATTAACTTGAAAACCGTGAGTGAAAGGGACTTTGGAGAACCAGAGGCTCTTGTCAACGCAGTATTGAACCACCAGATCTTGATAGAGGTGGGGAATTTCAGTTTGTAGTTTCCCGTAATGAGTATTTTCTTTTCAGTTTTCTAGAAAAGTTAACAGAGTTCCTCCGCCTGTTTGTTGCTCTTCATCTCCATCGCTTAGAAGAAAGCCAGAAGTTTTCACCTGTGCAAGAATTCCTCTCTCTGCTCTTCAAATACACATTCCATACTGCCCGCGAGCAGTTTTATAGATGTCTGGAAGTGTGGTCGATCTTTTTAGATCGTATGCATAATCGTGGGACACCAAAAGAAAGGTGAATATAGTACAGTGCTGTTACTTTCCAAAGCAGCATGTAGTCTGTAAGTCTTGTCCTTTGGTTTTTGTGGCTGGAGTACAATGTAAAACTTGAGCTTTTCAGGTATCAAGATGCCTGTCTTTTACTGGTGCAAGAGATTTTAATGAAAATGCAATTCAAGCACAATCGGGCTGAACTTGACGAACTGGATGATGAATTGTTAGATGATGATGTAAGTTACTAAGCTTATTCACAGTTTACCTTCCTTATTTAAACCAAAGTCTTGTGTATAAACTTTGTGAAATTTATTAACCATAACCTTCTCAGTTCTTCATGATTCTTAATTTTCAACTGTTCTGATGTCAGTAATGTTTTCTCTTAATTTTCAACAGCAATGTGTATAGTGAAACTTTATGTAAGCAATAGTTTTTCACCCATATATCATACTTTCTGTACGTTACCTAATTTGCCCTTTAAATCAATAATAATAAAAAGTTATTGGATGTAAAGGGTTGACTGCATGTGATGTATTACTTTTCTTTTGAGTTATAACACTTTGTTTTTTCTCTCCCTCTTTCTACAGGAGCAAACAGAATGGCAACATTACTTGAGACGCTGCATCGAGATTATAGCCAAAGTAGCAGAGCTTGCCCCAGTGGAAATGTATGAGCTAGTGGTGAGTTAATTTTGTTATTGGAATTTTATCCATCCATCCATCGGCTCTACAGCCCATATCGAGCCTTTGCCTCCTCAATTTTCTGCCTCCACGAAGATCTATTATTTGCAGCCATTTTCCAATTTTGACATTGCATCAGACCTGCAGCATCCCGTCTCACAGCATCTTCCTCTAGGTCTTCCTACCTTCATTGGACTTTGATTTCATAATTATTGGTTGAAACATATACAAGATGTGATATTTTAGGTGATGAAGATGTCAGTGTCGGTCTTCTGGGGTTTAACATCACGTGAACTTGTAGGTAGATACCAACATGCCGGAGAAATATACTGTCCCCATTTTCAGCCTTGAAGATGGCGATGGTAAGACAAACATTAACATGCGCAAGATGTCTGAAGGTGCCACCTGAGGTGGCTTGGTCCGCAGTGATATCGAGCGAGACAAATTCTGTTTCTGTAAGTTTTGTAGTCGTCTGAGAATACTGACTGCTGCTTAATTTGTGCCTGGCGACATGAAGGTTGAATTTGTCATCCTTTCCAGTCTACGCAAAAGATAATGTGATTCTCTTTTACAGAGGCTCAAAATCGGAATGTTTTGATTTCAAATCGGTGATTTTACAAGTGTTAATGTTTGTTTTATTAATTAGTTTTGTGTTTATAGCATGATCCATGGAAGGAAGCATCCACTGTTTACTTGCATCTGGAGCGAGCTGTCGAATCTCATGAGAATATCGATAACAGCAGACGTCTGACTGTTACTGATGCAGATGAGTGTTTGAGGCTTCACTGTCTTCTGAGAGATTTGTCATCCCTCACGCAGGCCGTAGGGAGAATGTACCCTTACTTTATAGGTCTGTATATCTAAACCAGAAATTATCTGCTCACGAAATTTTATTATTGATTCCAGTCGTGGTTGTGAGAGTTACGGCAATAGAACCTAGCGTCCTGTGTAATTTGTGTATCATAAATTCATGGTGATTTTGATTCAGGACAAGCATTCAGTTCCCGTTTTCCGCACGCTCAGCAACTTGTGTCAAGATTGTCTGTAATGGCGACGTATGGAACACAACAAAGACTGTATCATCTACAGGTGTCAAATCCAGTTCTCACTACTGACCTGATCGAGGTGTAAGCACATATTATCTGAAATTCTTTGAATATCTTCAACTAGTAGATTTTTTTATTCCTAAAACACTTATGATTATGTGGGTCATTCAGTTATTAGATGTTGTTTGATCTTATTTTCACACTAAGATTTTGAAATTGTGTGACATAAATTGGATTAAAAATCTGCTGCAATGAATAAATAAAACAGCAAGACTTTACTTAATGTAATTTCTTGCTTTCCTTGATAAATGTAATTTGTAGTGATTTGACCCTTTGTTAGTCATGCACAGGTCCTAGCTACTCTCAAAGCTTGGTGTCATTGGCTTGCACAACTATATACAGAGGTCACGACGAAGCCATTGTACGATCATCTCGTGTCAGACATAGTGAATTCTACAGTGCCGTTGCTCACAAGGAGAGGCGAGCCTTCTAAGTTGTGCCATTCAGCTGCTCATCTTCTAATCACGCTTACCGGAACTGTGCGTCCTCCACAAATTTGGGCTCTTCAGCCTGTTAGGGACATGTATAACATGGTTACGACCCTCACACATCTGTTGCCTGAGGTATGTATTGCTTTATTATATAATTTTGTGTAAATTATACAGTGTAGTTTAATGTTAGATTAAGTTGCAATATTCACTGAACAGAATCCTGGTTTTAATTTTGTGTATCTGAAGAATAAAGGTGGAAGTTGTCTTTAACATCACTAATTGTGTTGTGTCCCTTTGTTTTAACATAACCCCATTTCATTGGGAGGCTATAGTATCATCTTATTACAAACAATAATTTGGGAAGTGCTGTCTTATATGTGTTGTTCAACAGTGGTCCCTAATGCGGTGCCCGCGGGCGCCCGCCAAGGCTTTTTTTGGGTGCCCGCGTTGTTACAGAAAGAGGTTATACTGAATAATGAAGGCCGTTCAACCATGAACATTATAAAATCAAAGCGCAGATCTCAACTTTCTGACGCCCATCTTGACGATTGTTTGCGAGCAACAACATCATCCTACACTCCCAAATTTGAAAAAATGGCCAATTAAATGCAGCGCCAAACATCACACTAACTTCCCACTTGAATAATAATAATTGTACTTATAAAACTACGTATTTTTGATTGTGTGGTTTCTCGTATCATTAAACGTCACGTTGTTTTGTGTATTATTTGGTGTCCATATCTTATTTGTCAAGAGAAAAGGAAATTTGGCTTTGTTAATTGGTTGGTGCCCGCCACGATCTCATAAACTCTCAAATGTGCCCGTAGGCACAAAAAGGTTGGGGGCCACTGATGTACAATATCAGGTGCTGTTGCTATTAAGATAACCTTTATCAGTTGTGTCATCACTTACGAGCTATCCAGTTAGCTGTGTGATGAACTAACGCACTGTTAAATTGTTAACCCCAGAGTTTAAAGCGGCCCATCTGCGTACTAGTCTGGCTTGTGAGTCCAGCTCGGCTCGGGTTCCATTGAGCCAAACTCATTTGTGGGTGGGGTGCCACGAGCCGAGTCTGCTATGCGTGTGTGGTGAAATATATCCGAGCCCGGCTCACGAGCCAGACTCGTACGTGGATGGGCCGCTAAGGCCGGCCGGCTGGCAGGCAGGTTGTTAATATGAGAGTTTAAATCTTTGTTTCTCTGTAGTCAAGGTTAATGTAAATGGTATTATGAAAGTACCGTATGTATGAGGAAGGTAAGTGTGCATGATACTTAGCTTTTCTTTTCTCTTGCAGCTTATGATAAACCATGTTATTTTCTGTGAAGGCACAGTGCCTGGTGCAGCTGGCTTTGTGTAATACATTGCTACTACCCAGTCCAGGCATGACAGACCAGTTATGGGATGTTCGTCACAAGCTGTTAGCAAACCTCACAGATTCCTTAACAGCAGACTTCCAGCGACTGGGACACTCGGCCCAGACCCCGGAGCAACAGGCTCGTCCCATAATCACATCGACACTCAGACTTCTTGGCGATTTGGTAAAGCACATGCAGTCAGAGAGTTCACACAGCAAGAAGCTTCTGTATTCTGTGATACAGGTTTGTGTTCATAAATACATTAAAGGAACATAATGATCAGTAAGAATGATTAGCACTAATGCTTCCTGTTTGAGATCCCAGGTCCGTAACCTTAACCCATGGACGTATTCTGAAGTTCTCATGGGAAATGGCAAAAAGTTAAATTAGGCCAAGACCACATCGTCCATGTTCCTTTCCAGTGCGTTATTCATTGTATCATGCAAAATAGTGTTATTAAATAAGGAAAAAATATATTACAGAAATTATCACCATCTCTGACCACTAAAAGTAACACATTTATTTAAATAAATAACAGTTTTATTGTTATATGGTAACAACCTTGCACCGTATAAAGGAAGATATTTCGAAACTTCAATCAAAGCCTCGGATAGACGGACTTGACAGAGGACCGAATACGGACCTGAGAGCCATAGAAGAAGAAGAAGTTTATCAAGTCTCTGTGAAGTTTGTCCTGTAAATCAGCAGAAATTTGAAAACAGTAACAGAAGTGTTTATGTATATAAATATAAAAGGTGGAGATATGGGTATGAATGTAATTTTACTATAATTTGTAACTTTCTATGTGTTTCTCATGTTGAAAGAATCTTGCATTCTGATTTGATTGCAGGGCAGCATACATCAGACATTGTCGATGTTCCCTCAGTATGTGCAGTCGCCTGACGTGTGTGAGGTGATTCTGGACTTTTTTCTCACGGCATTTGCTGGCTTACAGCAGCAGCTTGGCGCTACATTTACCGAGCAAACTGTTCAGACTTTTCTTGGTGTCTTCACCAGGTAATGATTCTCAAGTCCGGAAGAATGTTCGAACTACAGCCTCCGCATCATGCGGTGTTTCAAAGCATAGGCTTTTAAATGGCTGAAGTGGGTGTGGTGGCCCAGTTTCTTAGTCTGGCATTACAGCTACACTCATTCTAACATAATTTCATATTCTGTATTTTTTAATATCCTGTGAAATTAATATACCTACATTTAGTGTCTGTCTGGTTTATGGAAATTAAAGTAAAAACAAAAGAATTTAGTATTGTATTTCCTTCTTTGGTTTGACAAGTACATGAAGTTTATAGAAAATTCCTTATACAGAAAAATTATTTTCGTGTTAATTTCTATTTTCTTTTATAGGGAACATCTGGCAGAATCATTGGGACAAGAGGGTGGAGCTGGGACACGTGTTGTTGAGAAGTTTCTTCAGTTGTTGCAACTGGTGATGGCCGAGCCAAGTGCGTCGTTCAAACGTTTTGTTCCAAGTACCATCTCTCTCTGCCTTGATCATGTTTATCGATTGGTATATATTTTCATATTTCGCAGTTTTCCTGTTTTTTTTTATTTCTTTTTTGGGGAAGGGGGATCATATTTCGCAGTTTTCCTGTTTTTTTGTTTCTTTTTTGGGGAAGGGGGGGAGTGAAATTATTTTCAAATAACTTTGCCCCTGAAGATGGTAGCAGCTTGTTTCTGTGAAATGAAGGAAGAACCAAAATATTGCACAGTGAAGCAACCCAGATGACCACTTTCATAATTACTAGCTGCTCCGCAGACATTTCTCGTTTACATTTTGACAAATCAGTGTAGATAATTGTTCTGTACTCTTTTTCTTCCATGTGAAATGTTATAAAATAGGTATACTGGTATGTAGCATATGTTCCGTGCGTAAATACCTTGCAAGAAGCAATGTAAACAAATTAGGGTATGCACTTTAAATATTTGGATATTCTACTGTGTATATTGGCTGACGAGTAACAAATGTTTTTTAGCTGAACACAGCAAACGTTGCAAAGAAAACCAATTTTACCCAGCATTTAGAGAATGAAGATGGTTTCTCCCAGACTTAGGTTTTAAGACAAACAAACATGTCCTAGATGGCATATTCATTATTATCCGTTACAAGTTGTATCATATTTTAGGAATGATTCTAGTTGATAGCTGTGTCGTATTTCCGTACATGAAACTTCTGTTTTATTCTTTGGGCTCTTTAAATACGTGTTATTAATTATTATGTCAGATTATTGCAGAATGCGCTTTATTAGTCTTAATTTTATTCTGTTAGGTAGCAGACACGCCATCCCCAGATGTAAAACCGGCATTGTTTGGCGTTCTTCATGCCATTTTGTTGCACAAGTGGCAATACTTTTACCGAACATCTGTATTGCGTGCATTATCTGAACCAGGAGTGGAAGGAATTGAAAACCGTGAGCATTTTGTAGGCATTCTGCAGGCATATGGTCAATCACTGTTACAGCCTGATATCAATTTGTTTGGACAGAACCTACGTAGTTTGGAAGAACTTAACACCAAATGGAAGCTCTATCATAAGGTAATATAATCATTTACATCATCAAGAATATTGTTTTATTTGCTGCTCTGATATGTGCTTAAATTTATTTCAGCAAATTTTATCAGTGACAAGACAGTCACAGCTTTTTATATCTACATGCTCAGTATTCAGTATTCGACAGTGCAAATGTGTTTACCCTTCCCCTTCACCACATCGAAAGACAAGGATCAATCCAGTCCTTCAAACATAGCGCGTTTTATAACATCAGACGACGGACAATGTCCAAAAACTCAACAACCCAAATATATTTGTGTTTAGAAAATTAAAACTCAAAACAGATATTGACTGTATCGGTCAGTTACGCGCATCATCAAAAGTTCGGACAAGATTTGTGGGACTCGGTGAAATAAGCATTACATGTGCATATTTTGTGAATTTTATAAGGAATTGTGAAAAAGGCCATAGATAAATTTCAGTTGAATATATGAAGTATATCGTATTGTATGACGAGCATACACTTTTCCCAAGCCTTACGAATTAAAAGTTTCAACTTCAAAAGCTGTGGAAGGAAAAGCTGAGTTTTACTGAGAATTGAAAATATGGTTGTTTGTACATCATTCCTTTGTCAAATGAGTGAATAAAATCTTAGTTTTAAGTAGATATTTACATATAATTTGGCATTGACAGTATAGTAGTATTTTCATTTTATGGCAGGCATTATTCCGTGAAGAACTACTCCCTCAATTCCTCACAGTTCTCTTACACTCATTGGTCCACAAATCGCATGCATTACTGGGTGAAGAGATTGCTGTGTGTCTGTACAACATGGCGGCTGTCAACTTCGTGGCATTCCATAATGCTTTTCTCCCGCAGTTTCTTCATTCAACTGATGGACTCGATGATGGCCAAAGGTCTATCCTGCAAAGAAATTTCAAGAATGACACTGTAAGATGCAATTATGTTTATAACTAATTCACTATGTGGTACAGTGTCTTTTGAGTAGTTAGTAACTATTGAGCTGGTCAGTAAATGCCCTGCTTTTATTTAACTAAGTGATTCATCACTTAGTAACTATTGAGCTGGTCAGTAAATTCCCTGCTTTTGTTTAACTAAGTGATTCATCACTGTGTTCACAAAAGCATTTTATTTGTATAGCCAGTTAAATCTTAGACCACACTTTCGGACCCAGAACCTGTAACATTAATTTCATTGAATTACTTTTCATCTCGTAATTCTGATTTAATCTTCGTAACATTATTTGTTGAACGATACAAGTTACAAGGAATGAAGTACATATTCCTTTTTTTATGACTCATTTTGTATTTTCTGTTGTAAATTTTGTACATAATCTGACATTTGTCCATTTGCTCATCGTTGATCAGACAAACTTTGATCTAAATCATTTGAAATGTTAAAAGATGGCTGACTTCTGGCTTATAGTGCCATGCAGTCTGATAGAATTTTACTGACATTTACTTGCTGCAATAAGAACCTCAAATCATACATATTTTTTATGTTAGTTTAATTTTTTCTTTCAGGACCTTCCTTCATTTACCCAGAACATTCAGCAATTGGTGAATGACTTGCGGTGCTACCGACTGTGTAATGCAAGCCTTCCTGCAGGCAGTGTAAAACTTTGAATTTCAAGGATGAACAGAATTTATTTTAAATGCACTTTGTGTTTAAGAGTGCATAACTTTGCCATAAATTCCAGGTGAAAGTGCATTACGTCAGTAGCAGGGTAGGTGTGTGCACATGCATGTGTGAGTTGAGGGGAAAGCAATATATTTTGAATGTTTAACAGATAATATTTATTACAAATTTTATTTAAGAATTTGTTGATTACCTGTTGAACGAGTTGTACCTAATTGTTCCTTGTGTGTGGTGCTGCATGTTATTTGCTACGCTGGCAAATTCATTGTACAGGATGGCAGAGAAGTTCCCGTACCCCTCCATAACTTATGTCGTGGCAATAGTAACGTTGCATCTGATGGATCTTTTTGTGCACTGTTGTGTTCAAAACACATCCTGATGCCCTGCTGTGTTCTGTGTGATCGACAGCGTTGCTGCATGCCACTTTTTAGTTTCATAGTGTACCTCAGAGTGCACGTACGGATCACATGGTAAGTTAAATAGGTGTAAAGTGACTTCTCAGTCACTTTGTATTTTAATGAACAGTCCAATTTGAAAATTGGCATAATCTTGGATTAGGCACTGTGTTCATATAATAATGTTTATAAATATGAGTAGTTTTTTTTTCTATTACTTTTGAAATAAGCGTACCTGGTGTAAGATGAAAGCAGGGTAGGGTAGTAGTTGTACATGAAAGGAGTTTGCTGCATGGAAGGACAGAAATAATACTTTCATAATGCCTCCAATATGGGTTTTTTTTGTTTCTATTAATGTCTTGTGATATTATTTTTTTATAATGTGAATATCTGTTCAGAACAGGAAAATAAATTAGCAATTTTGTATTACATCAAAAACCTTGTAATCCAAAAACTGAAGGAGCAAACGAGTAGAACGTGGGTTAAACATTTTAAACTGCAAGACTGATCTTTGAATTATACAAGATTGTGTTGTGATGTGTCATATAAGTAGGATTTAAGTTCGTGTGGTGACAAGTTTGGAGGCAGGAAGTACCTCAGAAATGTTGGTAAACTACCAGATTATATGGCTCTATAACCTATAATACAGCCATCTTCATGTAAAATATTTATATCATATTTACCAGAAATGGACTTCGTACTAGTTATGATGATGATGGTTTTGGCACACTTTAGATTCTGGTAATTGCTGGTTGTCAGGAAGTGTGCTTAGAAGTTCTAAGGCATGGAAGGGAGGATATTTAAATGGCCCAGGAAGTAGCCAAGAAGTAGGGTGTGGGTTGGATACATTGGCTTAGAGGACACAGTTATGTAATGTGAAAATGGAAATGAGCCATTGGGTTTGCATGAAAAGTGCTAAATGTCTTCAATTGTGTAATTTCTAGCTTTTAAAGAGTTCGTTAACGTTAGGTTCTGTGCGAACTTGTTTAGTTAGTGAACAAGTTGATTACGAACCGAAGGTTGGTAATGATTTCGTTCTTTAGTGACTATTTTCCAGAAGCATACTTGCGAAACAAAACTTTATTTCCTGCTTAATACACTAATAATTTAGTATAATTTTGTGTAAAAACTACTTTCCAAAGCGTTTGACGTTCAGATATGAGCTTTGTGACTTTTCATTTCCAGTATTTGACCCAAAACAACGGGTCATTTAATCCAAGTGAAACAGTTTGCGGAATTCAGGTTTTATTTTATGGGTTGGCATACGTGATTAGTATTGCGTGTGTGTAATGCTGTGTGAGTGAGTCGTGTTGAACTGAAGATTATTGTAACAAAATTAGTGCTTGTTGATACGTGAAGTATTTTAAATCGGAATCTACTATATTTAAAGCCGATTCTTACGTTCGTTTTGTTTTGTGGTGTTGCACATACTTATATCCAGTAGCTAAGAATAGTAATTTCAACCCTAACCTCATTCGTCATTAAATATAAGGATGGTGATTTGCTCTGCAGGTTGTGGTAAAAATGCAGTTTTGAAGGTAAGTGACACACTACTCGTTCTGTACTGTAATTTCATCATAACTTCAAGGTGAAATCCGCTGTAACAATTGATTTGCCTGACTTTTTAGATTTTCATTGCGACAAAAGTGTGAGAAGTGGTCTTGTGGATTGTGACACTGCGTAGTCTTGTAGGTGGTTCTGGAACCCAGAACACCAAAATCCACAGTTGTTCTGTCAGTTTGGAAACCGTTTAGTATGTGGGTTTATAATGTGTAAGAAACAACGTGGGGTAATCAGATTTAGGGTTATTTATGCAATGATGTGCAGCATTGAAACTGGTTCTAATTACATTGTATGTCTGTCTAATTATGTTTTCAGAGGCCCAAAACTGGAGACGCTCTATGTAAAGAATGTTTCTTTTGGGCATTCGAGACAGAAATTCACAATACAATTATTAGTGGTTCATTATTTAAGTGTGGGGATCTAGTTGCTGTAGCAGCATCTGGTGGAAAGGACTCGACGGTTCTAGCATATGTGCTAAAGCTACTTAACAAACGTCATGATTACGGACTGAAATTTGTGTTGCTGTCTGTAGATGAAGGTATTACAGGTAAGACCATGTTAGACTGCATATTACTTATGGGCTACATTGTACCCACACCCATTTTAGACATGGAGTTTTTCAGACTGTACAGAAGTGGTTAAATGTAAATGTATATGTTTTTGTTGATATGTAAAGAGATTTAATTTTCTGTTCTGTTGATTGCATGTAGGGTACATTGTACCCACACCCATTTTAGACATAGAGTTTTTCAGATTGTACAGAAGTGGTTAATTGATATGTAAAGAGATTTACTTTTCTGTTCTGTTGATTGCATGTATGGCGTGTGAATCATGTTCTATTTTTCTGATACTAATGAAGATTGTTGGTTTCTGTATTGCATTATGTTCACTTTAAGTCCAAATTAAGACACTGCATTTTCTGCAATCTTCAGTGTCATGACTTACATGCTGTATTACCAGTGCCAGGGTAAGGGTGTTTAAGTGTTAAAAGTTCAAGAAATGAGACTTTTTTTGGAAAGTTCGCACAAAAAGAAATTGATATAAATAGAATTATACAATTAACACATGAACTTAATGCTAAAATGCCAGTTCTCCTAAATTACTTTTTACATGAAATATAGGCTGTAAAGTTATAATAATTCTTATATGTAATATTTGGATTCATACATTAATAGAATATGGGTTTTGATTTAAGGTTATCGTGATGACAGTCTGGAAACAGTGAAGCAAAACCGAGATGAATATGAGATGCCTTTAAAGATATTGTCTTATGAAGAACTTTATGGATGGACTATGGATGCCATCGTGAAGCAGGTATATTGCAACATATCTGTTCACTGTCATGCCTAAATTTCACTGACTCGTATCTCATTGTCACGTAAATTTCTTTGTAGATTGGACGCAAAAACAATTGTACATTCTGTGGTGTATTCAGACGGCAAGCATTAGATCGTGGTGCAGCATTGCTTGGTGTGGACTGCGTAGCAACAGGTCATAATGCAGATGATTTGGCCGAGACTGTTCTGATGAATATTCTGAGAGGGGACATTGCAAGACTGCAGCGCTGCACAGCTATTGTTACAGTAAGTAGTAAGAAATTATATCTCTTGACGCAGTCCAGAATTAATTTAAAATTGTTTAAAGTGTTTTTTATAGCCCATTCTTGGTGCAGTAACCCTTTCATTATGATTTTGATTACAGGCAAGCGAAGGAGCTATTCCTCGTTGTAAACCTCTCAAATACACATATGAGAAGGAGATTGTAATGTATGCGTACTTTAAGCGGTTGCATTACTTCTCCACTGAGTGTGTTTTTGCACCAAATGCGTATCGTGGTCATGCTAGGGCCTTCCTTAAGGACCTCGAGAAAATAAGGCCAACGGCTATCATGGATATTATTCATTCAGGTATGGAAATTACTTGAATTTCTGATGAAAAAATTATTAGTAAACATAACATATTTAGCAGTTTCAGACATCCATCGTTATTTATCATTTTGCAGGTTTCGTGGATAGTGTTTTGATTACAGTTTCTTAAAAATTAGTGAGAAAAAAATAGTGATGCCGTCTACGTTGGCCTGGCTTATAGGTTGTTCTAAGCAGGCCGTGATGTATGGTAGCGGTGTGTTTCTTATTGTCTTCTTGAATACATATCAGGCAATGTCGGACTTGCTCACAATTGTGTATTTCCAGCAGGCTTTCCAATAGGAATTGTTATTTTTTATGTTGAAGGTGAGAGCTTATCAGTGCGTGAGGGAGTACATCTTCCTGAAAGGGGAACGTGCTCTCGATGTGGCTTTGTCTCCAGCCAGAAATTATGCAAAGCTTGTGTTTTGCTAGATGGACTTAATAGAGGATTACCACGCCTGGGCATTGGTAAAACAAGCAAAGTAAACAAAGCAATCATAGAATCAAACAAAGAAAAATCAAGGAGTGCTGAAGAGTTCTAATACCTGGAAGAGTTCCTGCATGTGCTTTATGTATAAATTTACAGTCCGTGAGTAAATATCCCATATATTTTTATAGTCTCGCGTTTCAAGTTGACACACACGTGCATCATCAATAAGAGCATTACTTAATTACATAAAAACATTTTCCAGAAAAGCTGTGTAGTAAAAACCAAATCTGTTCTGTTATAAGAATCTCGATGTAAATGCCACTGTAGTAAGAATAAACCGAACTACAGTGTCAACCGGTTCTGACAGGCAACCCTGCTGAGACTCATAACGAGCACCAGAGGAGAGGAGCCATATTACGCACGTGCGTTACAAGACAGTAAAAGTGTTAAAAGCTGTATACCAGCAACGAACCTCAAATCTGACTTATTATTGTCTTGTAGCTCTACTAGGTTGTAAGCAATTATACTCTGTTGTTTATTCTCGTTACATATGGGGAGGACTGTACTGTACATTTAATTCAGATTCTGTCAGTATAACCCCTAATTCTCTCAATAACGGCTCGCTATGTAGAAAGCTGGAGGAAAAATACAATAGACTTGGATGTGAGCTTTTGTTTCCAGACAGTTGCATTTATTAAATTTAGTGACTTTTCTTTATTTGTAAGCCTTGTTTGTGCCTGGGCATTGGTAAAACAAGCAAAGTAAACAAAGCAATCATAGAATCAAACAAAGAAAAATCAAGGAGTGCTGAAGAGTTCTAATACCTGGAAGAGTTCCTGCATGTGCTTTATGTATAAATTTACAGTCCGTGAGTAAATATCCCATATATTTTTATAGTCTCGCGTTTCAAGTTGACACACACGTGCATCATCAATAAGAGCATTACTTAATTACATAAAAACATTTTCCAGAAAAGCTGTGTAGTAAAAACCAAATCTGTTCTGTTATAAGAATCTCGATGTAAATGCCACTGTAGTAAGAATAAACCGAACTACAGTGTCAACCGGTTCTGACAGGCAACCCTGCTGAGACTCATAACGAGCACCAGAGGAGAGGAGCCATATTACGCACGTGCGTTACAAGACAGTAAAAGTGTTAAAAGCTGTATACCAGCAACGAACCTCAAATCTGACTTATTATTGTCTTGTAGCTCTACTAGGTTGTAAGCAATTATACTCTGTTGTTTATTCTCGTTACATATGGGGAGGACTGTACTGTACATTTAATTCAGATTCTGTCAGTATAACCCCTAATTCTCTCAAGAACGGCTCGCTATGTAGAAAGCTGGAGGAAAAATACAATAGACTTGCCAGATTAGTCGAGGGGGAGAGGTCAGACTAAGACAGGTACCCTGGTCCTCCAGGTTGGGGGTTGGTCGCAAGGCTAACAACCTTGCACCGTAAAAAGGAAGATGTTTCGAAACCTCAATCAAAGCCTCGGACAGAATGGATCTAACAATAGGACCAAATGGAAGAGGAGAATTGAGGAGGCCATGGACCGAACTTGGACCGGAGAGCCATAGAAGAAGAAGAAGAAATTGGTCAACATTACAGAACTGTCTTACTACTCCATTTTTAATACCTTACATATTTATGAAGTTGAACTCCTTTGTACTTAAATACCATATTAGGTTGGTACATTGTAGTAATGGGTAATTCAGAATAGCAGTGTTCTGTGTTTTTTAATCATGGGATTTGTTGTCCACAGCAGAGAATAAAGATTAAAGTAAACAAGTCAGAAATTTAATAATATTCTTTATGTAACTCCAATTTACAAATTCACTCCGAAAAAAGTAACATGTTCTTTACCTAAAATTATATCCAATCCAGCGAATATTAAAAAAATAATTAATTTACATTTTACTGGGAGAAGTCATCTTGTTACATTCTTCTGTGTCCGTTCATTATTAAGTTTGTAAAGTGGCAATACTGATCATCCAGTTTGATCTGACAGCATCATTTGTGTTTTCATTGTGTATAAGTATTTTTGAAGCCCTATTTTGGGGTTTTCTGTAAATCAGAAGTACTGCATTTTTTAAATCTACAGTGTGTTATATATAACTTTTTTTAAAACTTAATGAAATTTACATAAATTTTACTGATATCAATATTAAGTCATGGATATCATATATTCTTCAGTCAGAGTGGGGTTTCTTCATCCCTTATGAAAGGGTGAAATGTGAAATTATTTTCAGCTCAGGTGCATCCTTGGTAAGATATTTTTTGCCACCGTAAGATAATTTACATTGTAGTTTCTATAATCTTTGCACGTTCTTATTATTGATTTATTTCCCCCGTGAAGAACTAATTTGAATGAATTAGGAAAAGTGATTCTGACCACTGCAAAATTCTAACAACAATAATTATGCAATGTAAGCAGTAGCTTTTGTTTGTACTTTGGCCCTACACACAGGACACAAGTCATTGATTCTTTCACTGCAGTCTAAGCACAGGCACACATGACCACAAGGTAATAAGATGATTTCACGAGGGTTTTGGTAACATACAAGACACTGTTGCAGTTCATTTAGTTCTCTGTCCCGGACATGTCTTCGTCTCATTTTCTGGGAACCATCTCGCTGTCTCCTTATAGCTTCTTCATTTAGCCTGCGCGCACGTTTCGTCCACCATCTTTGTGCTATTATCCCAATGATGACTATACCGATGCCTCCGAGTATAATTGTCAGGAACCTATGTAGGGGGTTGAAAAACAGTGGAGGATTATTAAACCAGTACATATCTTCCCAATAACCTCAAGTATAAATGGGGAGAACAGAGATGCTAACGAGCACGTGATTAATAAGTCACATGCAAATTATAAAAGCTTCAAATCATAACAATCTTATGTGCGCTCACTAAAATAGCACCCCCCACAGAGGACTTCAAATAGATAGCCTGTGCATACATAGTGCCTAGTTCTGTCATATATGATAAAGTACATGGATTGTGTTGACAGTACCTATTAGTAATAAGCAGAAAGGTCTTGATAATACATTCCGTGCTCCATGGATTTTAACTGACTTTGGACTGAAGAAGAGAAAAAGTTATGAGACATTCACTACATTGTGAAAGCAAGGAATATTCATGGATTTCCCATACCTGTATATACGCTTCTCATTATCAAGTTTTCGGATTAAGGAAGAAAGAGGCAATACCGTGAGATAATACGGATTACCATCACACGGAGCCTGCAATTTTAGTCCGCCCCTTTCTAATGCAAGTTCTCCGATTCCAGTGATGAAGGTTCCTTCCTTCAGCATCTCCTCCGTTGTCTGCACGCCCCGTTGTTGCACGCCTGTTACAGAGATGTGTATTCCTCTTGGTTTATTTAACAATAATTTCAAATTGTACAGCATTCAGTGTTAGGCTGATTAATGACTAATGATGTGGAAGGGAGTGGCTGTAGCCTATTTAAGGTGTCATCCCAGTATTTATCCCGACAAAAGCCATGGGAAACTTTGTCAGGATAGACGGTCTCTTGGCTGAGATTTCAACAATGGATGACTGGAATACAGGATGTGTAGCATGAATGAAGACATAGTCTGTGATGAAATCAGTGTTGATAACTATGAATTTTCAGAATGTTACATGACAAAATCATGAGCATAAAATTGTCAATTTCCCATTCTGGGGGAAGAACGTAATTAAAGCTATTTATGAACAAAGTGAGAATCTTCTCAGGTGACTAGTCGTGTCAGTATAGATTTGTAGTAAAATTTTTCAGAGACCTCTCTGCCCCCATTAAGGAACGACATCACATAATTCCTTGATGATGCGGCTAGTTGCCCGAAATTTTATTGAATTGAGTCGCTAAGAAAGTTGGAGGGCATAAAATTACATATTGAGGAACTTCATAATTTATATATTAGACCATATGATATTGTGAGGTTGAGAAAATAGGGAACAGTGAGATGGTTGATTAGCATACATGGGGAAAACGTACAGTACACTTTTCAGATACAATTTACCTACCTGTAAAAAATCCCCATACAAGTTGAAGGCCACTGGGATTACTAGGTTCAAAATGACTTTCAGTAGTTTCAAGGTCTAAAATATCTGTTCTTTCAGCATCAAGCACTTCTACACTGGTTTTTGATGCTTGTAACACAAATGGAACAGAATTGTAAACCTCTTGGATAACACGCTTGTGGTCTGTGCTACAAAAGAAAACACAATCTATGATCAGTGATGGAATTTCTTGTACTTATGACTTTAACTGGCATTATATGAATATTCAGCATACCTCCAGAAGCCAGCTGAGGACCTTCTGATTAAATGTTCTTTGATACAAATCTTTTGAATGGTTCCTGTAGTTTTCCAGTTATTTATGCTTGTAACTGGAGCACCAAGTGCTTTAACTTGGCCACGTACGGCTACATATGGAAGTTTTTGATCTGGTTGTGTTCTTACTCTATCTTCCAGACTAGAATCTAATTCGACCACTGCAGCATTCTATAACAGACACAAGCAAAACTTAATGTGTGAAATGTTGTAACCTGATATACTATGTGGCCCTGCTAAAATCAGGAACACGAAAATTTCTGGAGAGATGGTTTTATAAATTTCATATATTCTATTCACTCAAAATTACAACAGTGAAATAACGAGTTAATGTTTAAACAACTGGATGCCACCCGCATCCCAAATAACTATGACACGTCATGTCTAAATAAGCAACATAAATCTGCGAAGTTCTAGCTGCACTCCACAGTTCTATAATCCAACACACCTGAACCTCTTTAATTGCTTTATATTGTTTAATGAATAAGTTGCAGCATATTCCAAATAATATGGAATCAAGTCCAAGCGCAAGAAATTCTCTGACATAATCCATTCCCAAAAATATTTTCTGATTTTCTTTCCACTTTGTAAAGTTTCACTTGCGCGGATCCATGTTCCACTTCAAACTCTTTTTTTGTGATCAGAAACACCAACCTGTGGATGGCTACAAGAACTAAAGCGAATTTTCTAAAATGATACTCCTTGAATTTTTTGCTGGAACTTATGAAGAACGTGATAGTTTAACTTCATTAAATAGTGTCTTTTTTCTCAGCTGTGCTTTCAGCTGTTACTTTTTAAGAAATTGTTGGATGTAGTATGATGGCAACATTGATTAATCTGTTGTGTCATGTGATTTTAGGGGGAAGGGAGGTCGAAATAGGTTGGATGGAAATTTACGTTGTTACCGACTGAGAACTTGAAAGTGGATGCAGCCAACGAAGAGTTGCCGCTAGATCGTTATTGTGGTAGTTTTATAGTTTCTGCTGATAGATGACGGGCAATGCATACATGACGTAATTCGCCACGTGCGTTGCCAACATTTGACATTGACTTACCAATATGAATGTTGGTATTTGTGCATTTAACGTCAAGCTCAAGGTACAGCGGTCTGTGGTAGTAGAAGTAGAATTACTCTGCATTGATTTTTGGTAAAATGACGGATTTAGAAGGCAAGAGAGATGAAACAGAGACTGCGAAAAAAATTGTCCATACTTATCCTTTAATACGGGTAAGGCATATTGTCGTGTCAGTATATATTTTGTATTCAAAATATATACAGTTTGCTTCTGGAAAACTTTGGAGTTGCTTATACAAAAATAAATTATTTGCTAGAATTGTTGCACAATTTCAATTAGCAGAACGTTTGTCAAGTTTACATAATTATATCTTAAATCTCCAGAATTCTGACATGGTGGAAGAAATGAAAGGAGAAGTAATGGAACTGGTTGTCACAGCATGTGAAAAACATTCAACGAACAATGAAGTAAGTTATCATCTGTGTCCTTTATTAAATGCCATATATTCTGTGTAATCTCACACCTTACTTCTGTCAGTTCAACGAACAATGAAGTAAGTTATCATATGTGTCCTTTATTAAATTCCATATATTCTATGTAATCTCACACCTTACTTCTGTCACCATCAAAACTTTATGGCCACTTCCAAATTGCCCAGTGTCATTGAGTAGTTTGCTTTATGTTCAGAATAGATTATGCGGTGTTGGAGGGAAATATAATGTGTGAATGATTAATTAGAAATGATCTGGCCTGTATGAAGGTGTTAGTATTGTTGTGCCATTTATCTGGAGGAGCCGAGAACTCAGTGAAAAACCTCAGTCAAGGTAGCTAGCCTCTGGTCTGAGATCTGCACCCACTTCCTCCCACATGTGAACACATAACTAACTAAATAGATGGCTTAGGGAAGCCGAAGGTTTATCACTGAACTAACCAAAGCCGTCCACCGATCCCTGTCCTGGGCGAGCAAAATCCAGTCACTTTCTACTCCTATCTCCCATAGATCCCACCTGAGATTATCCTCCCATCTACTTCTGTTAATATTTGTGTTTGTTCAGTGGTTGTTTTTATAAGGAGTTTCACAATAGCCATTGGAAAATTTTCCTTCTGGCATATTTATCATATTATTGAATTATTTTCTTTTTCTTTGTTAAACATTCAGAACAGTTTTTATTTAATTAAATTTAATGTGGTGATAAAAGCTAATTGATCTCTTTTTTTTTCCAAAACTTTATTTTTAATGTAATTCTGTGTATGTATAGACACTTTGAAATATCCAAGGATGTGAGCTTTTGTTTCCAGACAGTTACATTTATTAAATTTAGTGACTTTTCTTCATTTGTAAGCCTTGTTTGTTTGTTTGTAACTAATGGTAAAGGGTGTGTTATTTCATCTTAATTTTAATTAACATTTAACATTTCAATTGTCCTGTCATCAGTAGTTCATATTTGACCTTGCACAGAAAACATGTTTGCTTTTCCTTTTTTATCTAGTTAAGTTTATGTACCATTAAATAACTTCGTCTAACCACTTAGTTGCCAAAACACTAACCAAATGTTTTTGTATGTTCCGGTTAAATGGATTTTCAGATGGCTGCTCGTATGATAAAGGAAACAATGGATAAGAAGTTTGGTCCATCATGGCACACTGTTGTGGGAGAAGGGTTTGGTTTTGAGATTTCATATGAATGTAACAATTTGCTGTACATGTTCTTTGGTGGAAACCTTGCTGTCTGCATATGGAAATGTTCATAGTTCCATCTTCCCCTTAAAGCAGTTTACACTGTGATGTATAAACATCATGGTTTAAATCGTTTTGGTACAATGTGCTTTCATTCATGACAAACAGATAGTATTAAATAACGCCAAATATATTTACTTTTAAAAGCTTAAAAATGTCAGGTGCAGTGCTCGTTGTGACGAATTTTTGTAGTATTTTTTGACATTTGTTGTGTGATTATGTAGTCTATCAGTATTTGCATTGTTACCAGTTTTGAGTTGAAATTTTATTTGTTCTATATTTCATGTAACATTTAATTTAATTTATTGATTGTTTAGCATAGTTATTGTATATATTTGTTGAAAATTATTTATTTTATTTGGACCTTTTTTTAGTGGTTCTGTTGACGGTGGAAGGTGTAGTTCAGAACAGTTTACAATTTCTGATACTAGCAGTGAAAGTTTTATCAGTATCTATTTTGATGATCTCCCCTCCCCACCCCTATATTTATAATTATATTTCTTACACAATAGAATTTGTTTCAGAGGAGCCGGTTTTGATGTTTATGTTAATATTTTAGTGACGTACTACTCATTCATAAAATGTTGCTAATATTTAACATTTATTATGACCTGCAATTCAGGTTACAAAAATTGGCCCACAGTTGTGGAAATGGTATAAGAAACAAGGCGTCTAATGAAGAATGATATGAATATAATTTATACAGCAGGGATAATAATAATACATCATTTAGTGTTATGTAAGTTAGTAAACTTTAGATTTTAGTGCCACTGCTTGGGAAAGTTCACAAACATCGGCCATCTGTACACCTGCAGATGCTTAAGTGCCCTCGAGGGGTTTTGGTGTGTCCATGGTAATTGTAGAACATTCAAAAGGAATTTAATGTGTTTAATTTTTTATTTGTGTGACTGTCACAGTCTCATATTTCTTTGAGGTACTTGGTATAGCAAATGCAAGAACACAGTCATAGTCAAAATACTTCACTTTGCATTTTTTTTAAAATTAAATTCACATGGTGCATACTATAAATTTATAAGCTCCTCAGAGTTGCCCCTCTCCCAAAAAAAGGTTGGTGATCCCCAGCTTAGTAGCTGTGTAACGTCTAGTCATCTCATACTTTTTATGTATTATATTTTAAAATTTGAAGCTTAAATATTTATCATAAATCTATACAAAATGTTTCAAAAGAACATGAACGCATTCACATATTTCTCTTTAATTCCAGGTTAAGCTTGTATGCCAAATAGTGGTGGCTAAAATAACTAATACACCTTTTTGATTGGAAAAACAAATGGATCTGACAAATGTTTTGTCTAGAATTGTGATGATAATCATCATTCTTACTTTCATAATTTGATATTTTTAAATGTAGTTTGTTATGTGTATCATAGTATATGAAGGTAGTTGTTTATACTGTGGTAATCAAAACTGTGTATCTCATGTAGGATTTGAGGTTATGGTGATGAGTATAAAAAATGGCTGCCCTGCATGATTACATGGCATTACAGCCCAGAAGACAGCCATCTTCATTGTGTATCTCACACATGAATCCAAATGAGTTGTCTATATCAGGTATCATAATTTATCAAAATTATTTACATTGAATTTGGTGGAAACAATGCTGTTCAGTGTTGATTATGGTATTCTGGACTGCAGTGCTCTGAATTCTTATATGTGGTTACCATTGTTCCTTAGAAACATAGGCAACTATTTACAAGACTACACATCATTACAACCCAGATGACCACAGCTGACATAACCTGCATGAAGAACTGAAATTTCACACTCTTGGATTTCAGACCATTTCTGTGTTGCGTGTTGAAACATTCTGTATTATTCTGTCTTGTCTCCTCTCTCTTTATTTTTAATTTTTATATACATTGATCTTTTCCAGGTCAGTAGGTTATGTAAGGTTCAGTTACATATGAAACTACCTGCAATATTATGGAGTATACCAGAAGTAAAGTATATTTTGTGATGTGTCACATTTTGTGAGTGGAATGCAGCTCTTTCTGGGTAAAATATATTTGTATCAAGTAGTAAACAGAAAAGCTTTTATATAATACTCTTGAAGATGGTGCAGTATTTGCATTTACATATCCAAGTGTACCTTAAAGTACTTAATCCTCCATGCATACCAAAGTTTCAGATGTTTATGCTGATTAATAAGGTGTGCTGTAATATTTAAGGTTAATCTCAACAGAATAATTCAACTTCCTCAGTGGCCTTTGTGTGTGCAATTACTTTTATATATTAGCCTTTTACATAACTGTTTTGAATGTGTAGTGCCTTGCTGTTTGTATAATGTTTTATGATGTTGCATTCCAGTGGACTGCTTCCATTTTATAAAAAGACATGTGGCCAACTGTGTATGGCAAAACAACCTTGCACAATATTTTGTGTCCTTTAAGTGTGAAACTGAAATCTGTTATTGTAAGTTTAGTTTATATCGACAAACAACTTGGTATGTGGGTGACAACATAATTCTAGAAAATTGATAGCAAATCTAATAGTGGTTTAAAAAACATTTGACTAAGGACTTAACTGCACGACTTCTATAAATTTATAAGCTCCTCAGAGTTGCCCCTCTCCCAAAAAAAGGTTGGTGATCCCCAGCTTAGTAGCTGTGTAACGTCTAGTCATCTCATACTTTTTATGTATTATATTTTAAAATTTGAAGCTTAAATATTTATCATAAATCTATACAAAATGTTTCAAAAGAACATGAACGCATTCACATATTTCTCTTTAATTCCAGGTTAAGCTTGTATGCCAAATAGTGGTGGCTAAAATAACTAATACACCTTTTTGATTGGAAAAACAAATGGATCTGACAAATGTTTTGTCTAGAATTGTGATGATAATCATCATTCTTACTTTCATAATTTGATATTTTTAAATGTAGTTTGTTATGTGTATCATAGTATATGAAGGTAGTTGTTTATACTGTGGTAATCAAAACTGTGTATCTCATGTAGGATTTGAGGTTATGGTGATGAGTATAAAAAATGGCTGCCCTGCATGATTACATGGCATTACAGCCCAGAAGACAGCCATCTTCATTGTGTATCTCACACATGAATCCAAATGAGTTGTCTATATCAGGTATCATAATTTATCAAAATTATTTACATTGAATTTGGTGGAAACAATGCTGTTCAGTGTTGATTATGGTATTCTGGACTGCAGTGCTCTGAATTCTTATATGTGGTTACCATTGTTCCTTAGAAACATAGGCAACTATTTACAAGACTACACATCATTACAACCCAGATGACCACAGCTGACATAACCTGCATGAAGAACTGAAATTTCACACTCTTGGATTTCAGACCATTTCTGTGTTGCGTGTTGAAACATTCTGTATTATTCTGTCTTGTCTCCTCTCTCTTTATTTTTAATTTTTATATACATTGATCTTTTCCAGGTCAGTAGGTTATGTAAGGTTCAGTTACATATGAAACTACCTGCAATATTATGGAGTATACCAGAAGTAAAGTATATTTTGTGATGTGTCACATTTTGTGAGTGGAATGCAGCTCTTTCTGGGTAAAATATATTTGTATCAAGTAGTAAACAGAAAAGCTTTTATATAATACTCTTGAAGATGGTGCAGTATTTGCATTTACATATCCAAGTGTACCTTAAAGTACTTAATCCTCCATGCATACCAAAGTTTCAGATGTTTATGCTGATTAATAAGGTGTGCTGTAATATTTAAGGTTAATCTCAACAGAATAATTCAACTTCCTCAGTGGCCTTTGTGTGTGCAATTACTTTTATATATTAGCCTTTTACATAACTGTTTTGAATGTGTAGTGCCTTGCTGTTTGTATTATGTTTTATGATGTTGCATTCCAGTGGACTGCTTCCATTTTATAAAAAGACATGTTGGCCAACTGTGTATGGCAAAACAACCTTGCACAATATTTTGTGTCCTTTAAGTGTGAAACTGAAATCTGTTATTGTAAGTTTAGTTTATATCGACAAACAACTTGGTATGTGGGTGACAACATAATTCTAGAAAATTGATAGCAAATCTAATAGTGGTTTAAAAAAAATTTCAATTCAGAACTGAAACCTGAGTTAAATGTTTAAAGCAAGGCATGGCCAAGACTTCGACTGTCACTGTTGCAAGTCATCCATAATGGTCATTCACGCACCAGGTAGTTTGCTCATTATTATACATTAGTTCCATTGTGACTGCTAAAGCTAGAAGAGAGGGAGATTTCATATACAGACTTATACATACATGTATATATTTTTTATACTGTAATTAAGTTGATGCAAGTCAAGAATGTAACATCATCAGTGACAAAGTATATAATTTTAAAAGTGTTCAAATATCCCAATTGAAAATCACTGTCCCATAACCTCAAATTACAGAAAGAAATGAATGCTAACAAATTTGGGAAATACCCACTTTCCTTTACATCCTTCCATCTGAATTAAGAATAATTTGATTTAGCAGTCTGTTTTTTGCATAATTATTTTTAATGTTGGTGGTTTGTTTTCGGCAGCCATGACACTGTGACTGTAGGTTCGAATCCCACTCTAAGCATGGATGTTTGTCCGCGTTGTGCTGTCCTGTGTACAGGTAGAGGCCTTGCGACGGGCCGATACCTCGTCCAAGGAGTCCTACCAACTGTCTATAGATCAGAGCCAACGAAAGTTGGGACCCGCAGATGCTCAGGCACTGAAGAACGGGTCGCCTAAGTAAGTAAGAAAGTTTGTTTTTGGCAGATTTCATAATTGGAAGAGTTAATTCATAAATCGCTAGTTCTACTTTTTAAACTTCTACATGAACCAGATTGTCTTTATTCAAGTGCAAAAACTACCACTGCTGTCTTGTCTAACCTCTAACATACTGAAAGTTTATTTCCGTGCGTTCATCATTAATGAAAATGCTGATTAAGTTTTTTGACATGCAAAACATAATTTGCTTTTTTTGAATTCCAATTTACAGCGGACTGCTTCTAAACTGGCGCTGGCTTAACTAGCCCTCCAGCTTAAGCATAATCTTTTTCTGGGAATCCTGAAATTCTCATAAATGTAACATATTTAGTACTGCTTCAGACAATGACCAGTATACCCCATTATGCAGGTTTTGTGGTTGGTGCTGTTTAAATGTAAATCGTACACTCTCGTTCTCTAAAAATAAGTAAAGTAGGAGAGAGTGGTGATTTATGGTATATCTGAAATTTACAAACCGCTGTTTGTTTAGTGATTATATTTCACTCTGTGCTGAATTTTATTTATTTATCGTTTCTCCAGATTATCTAGCTTTTCATTTAACCACCCTACCTACCATTTAGCATTGTCTATGCCAGTTAGGAAATCAGAAATTCTCTTAAACACAGGAATGCGTCCGACACTGAAAGTGTCCTTTTGAACGTTAAACAAGCCATGCCAGGAAAAAAAATAAAATATATACATAATCCATATAAATAATGTGTCTGATGAAATTTATGAGTAAATTATTTATTTACTTAAGCATTTCTGCATAATACAATATGCATTAATCAATTTTAAACAACTACATAATATGTAAGATTTGATGTATATTTACTAACCAAAAATCCAGCTTTTTCGCGTCATGACAGATATAGTTGCAAATATTTCATGGGGAATGTGGAAACGAATGATGTGTGTTTGTCGTAATATATGTTTTATGAGTACTTTCAAGAAATGTGTAGTGTAGTAAACACTGCACTTTAGAAACACATCTGAATATTTAACAAATGCTTATAAATGCAATTCGTTACATTGACAAATGTCTACACCTAGCCTAAAGCAGCATTATTCTATGTTTACAGCAATCACCTAGTTACAATAAGAATATTGTTTTCCACGATTCTCTCGTTGCAATGACTCAGGCTTCAACATGTACTTTGCACCTGTTCCAAAGTGCTGACAAACCTTTTACAAAAAAATACATCATACTTAAAGTTTATTAACCAATGTAGACAAATACTACTCTAAAGTAAACATCTCTTAATGTCAAAATTGAAGTAAGGGTTACATTTACAACTTGGAACTAAGTATCATTCGCGATAACAATACAACACAGCATGAAGCTGGAAGTTACGGCACAGAAATGCAGTCTTCAGTTACAGATGCTCTCTCTCTAGATTAATGGCCATGTGATTCAGTCTCTTCTTCGCTTACTGGACAGTCCCACCTGAGATGCACTTCGGGTGTTAAATTGATGATGTGCACGTTGATTGCCTGGTTCTTCTCGTATTTCGGAGGAATCGGACATAGTCTGTACTTGACTTCATCACCAGGCAGTGGTATATACTCCCCCTCAATGCTGAAACAAAGATCAGGTTTAACGTCATGCAATCCCCCATTTTCCTTGTACGGTCGTACCTGAATAGTCGGATGCATCGCTACTTACAGCCACTTGCTGTTTCTCACTCTGTTTGCTTGTCCATCTCATCCACTTAGTGATCACCACTAACGCATGTACTTTGACACTCTAACTTATAAAGTCTGCAAAATTCCTACATCCAGCCATTTTTCACAAAATAAAAAACTTTACAGAAAATAATAATTCTGAAATTAACTATCAAACATAAAAATTTTCAGCAATATCTGATAACAGTCCACTTCATGATGTGGAACTTCACAATTCATTTTGCAAGGACCACAATAGTTTCTTAGATATTCAGAAATTAATTTCTGGAAGTTTAATCACATCTGTTGGTGGAAGCAACAGAAGTATTTAGAAGTCCGCTGAGCTAATAGTCGCACTACTGGTCGTGTGTACCGATACAGAAATAAATCCTGAGAAGCAACCTGTCACCAGGGCAGTTACATTTCTACTCTTGCATTTTGAACCTCATTTTACATGCTGTTTTTTTTTCCCAGGTACTTTTAAGTAAGTTTCATCATTTGAACATGACTTTAATAGTTTAAAACAAACAGGCTGTTAACTTACTCAGAGATGTGGACAAATATATCTCCTCCAGTGGAATCCGAGGAGATAAAACCATGACCCTTTGATCTGCTGAACATCCTCACTTTCCCCAACTCAGTTGGATTCTCAAATGCCCTTGCTGATCTAATAACACAATAGATTACAGGAAACTACAGGTATGTTTAAATATCTTGTGTCTCCAATTGCCCAAGAAGTTAATTAGGATTATAATTTATTTACATTCCACAGATCTTTCATTGTACAAACTGAGGATGTGGTACATGTCATTGTATGATTATGAAGACTACAATAAAATACATACTATATTCATTAATTGGAAAATGTTTCCAAACTGAAACCCCTATTGTTCATGCAAATTAAATATGAGGTGCCACTTGACAATTAGCAGGTAATATTTTGAGCTGGAGGCATGAGTTTAACAATTACTTGTTACATACAATTCTGTATGCATATGCACAAGACCCAATTAATCCTGTGAAATCTATAAAAAAAATAATTTAATGTGTGAAATTCGCTGTTCTATCATTCCTTGCAATTAGTACCTTACAGTATGTGATGATTACCACCACTCCTGTAAGTCGTTCAAATTCTTGACCAGCTGATGCTACATAACCTAACAAACTACTTTCATGTCATAAAATAATTTAACAGTGTGAATAAACACAAGTTTCCTCCTCTTCGATGTTGTTTATTGCATTCTCAATTTTATTCTTTAAGTTCATAGCACCTTGAACTGAACTGATTTTTGTACCTTGACTTGTTCCACGGTATTTATACAATATGGCAGTCTAACATTGCATAACCTTATTTATTTGTAGTGTTTTTAATTATTATCTCAGACAATACAGCATCAAATGAAAGCATGACTGGTGAATAATGAAATGGAAAGGAAGTGGTCAAGGCCTAACTTAAATTACTATTGTGGCACATGACTGGACAGACTGGGCAAAATCACGAAAAACCTCAGGTAGGATAACTGGTAACAAGCCAATAATTTAATCCAAGACTCCCCAAATACGAGGCGGGAGTGCTAACCACTGCGTTCGGTGCCGAGGTTTCATAAGCCTTGCTAGAAGAAGTAAATACAATGTAACAAGTATGTAAAAAGGTCGCCACAGTTACCCAATTACAGTTTGATATAAAATAAATATACAATGAACTGATACAAAAAGTACTCACGTAGATTCAGTCCTGGTACGCCTAGTAACAATTGGGCTTGGCACTTGTAATTTGGGGCTGCCACCAGGCGATTCTGGCGACAGGAGCGATGGACTATTATGTTTCCCAGCATATTTAGGTTGTCCAGACAAACTGTCGGACATGTTAGTCACACAAGAACGAATCTGCAACCGAAGAGCTATCAATAAAAAGACCTATACAAAACACGGTTTCGAAATATGACCTTGTTACGTCAAGTACTTGAAACACATTCACAGTGATTGATGTTTATAAATCGTACGATTAAATGCCGATTAATCGTGATCAACCTCCACTTAAAAACAGAAAGACTTTTCCCACCATAAGCTTACCTAGAGCCTGTTATGATGAAGAATTGTGCGCTTACTGTACTTGTTTCATCTTAATCTTGATAACAGCCACAACGAAACGCATTAAACGTGACAACTGCCTCCCACCGTATGTTAACGCTATGGTGAAGACACCTGACGAATCAATGAAGGGTCAAGTTTTTAAAGGTTTGATGATTAGGTTTGAACTGTTTTCAAAATCTAGGCACCTGAAGACGATGATAGCCCTCAGAATATTTCGAGTTCTATCCTACTAATCTGTAGCCCGAAGGTTAATAGTTATTGGTCACGGCTGCCAATATATAGAACATTAATAAATAATACATAACATGATATTATGGATTGGCTTAATATTATACCTACGAGGAACCTTTAAACAAGTGTTAATTACGTTTTTAATAATTGACAGGCACTTTACTCTGCTTATTGATAACTACAGTAGATGTTGCTGACATCATTTCGGTCTGAACTGAATTTTGTAACATATCATTAATTCTAGACTGATTAGATTAGAACCACTGATTATTTATGCAGTTTAATGCTTTATGCACCTCAAAGTCATGTTTACACTACATCAGCAGCGCATTTTTAAATTTAATACAAGATCTCTTACTCATTCGTGAATATTCATAATTTTGCAAAACATAACGAAATATTTTATAACAATGTATAAAAATTGTAACAAATGTATCAGACCAAAAACAACATTTGGCTTATTTTCTGGAATTTAAAATAATTATCTGTTTATTTTATATATAATGTTTCCGGCCTTACAATATTTTCGTAAGCAATTAAATCAGTGGGGTAAATTTAGTTTTCATGCAATGTGAAGAGGCTCTCACTGGTGTTTATTAATTTTCTTTATAATTGATGATGGGAATGCATAAAATATGAACTTTGTGAACAGACACAACACATGCTGTTCATTAATTTGTGATAATGCAAATTAATATGGCAATTCATACAGTTTAAAAGTATCAACTGTATATTTTCTGTTTTTCAGTGCTGTTGTTAGCAGGGAAATCTTTCGGGTAAATTTAGGTATGATGCAAGGTGAAGGGGCGGTAACGCATTTCGCGCATTTGTGTATGTGGAAGACATATTTGTTGACATTAACTTTATTTGCTAATTTGCGATAATGTAATTAGCTTCACAGTGTACTGAAGGTGTGAACTGAATATTCATCAGCTCAGATTCTGTAGTTGTTCTTCACATATGCCAGAAATTAAATTAACAGAAGTTAAAGATTATACTTTGCAGGTAGAGTAACGTTATGTGGTGTTGGTCAATTATTTTCTTTGATGTATCCAGTTCAATAATTGGGAACACCATTTCGCAGTTTCATTTACTTTATTCTTTCTCACATTTATAAGTGGTGTTCGTAATTTTAAATTTGTAGGATGAGAAACATCCAGTCGAGAATCTTCTCAGTGGACGTGCCAATGGTGGAAAATGGCTTATTCCTGCTTCAAGATCAGCTTCATCCATGACAGCAACATTTCAGCTAGCAAAGTGCTGCGTTATCAGTAGTGTGCACATTGGTATTAAAATTATTTTATGATTTTAAATAGTTGCTTTATCTTCTAATTCCTGGTAGCAGGAAGCTGAACTTAATTGTTTTATCCATGTCCAGAACATCTCTGGTGCCCATCCAGTTTTTTAACAATGGATAACTTCATAAATGTTTCCTGTAGAGTTAAAGAAAACTACAGTGTGAAGGCAGTCATTCATATGAGATGTGATAAATAATGGACTGATTCTGTGAAAGGATACATTTTGACAGATGTTACTATTAGATCCATTGTCTAAAAGTAATTTTAGTATGGGTGTCAGAATTAGACCCTTTCAACCACACTATGTATTGGAAGAAATATGTGATGATCAAGAAAAGTGGGGTAAGTTTTCCATGAAGACAAGAGATGACCATCCTCCCCAAGTGCCTACTTGGTGTATAGTGAGACAGCTTTTATACAGTTATTTAAATTTCACGGTAGTAGTTACTAGATTTTATTTGCACTTTAGTGTCATTGAAGAGCAGTTTGTAGCCTTGTCTGTCTCTCTCTGTAGTGCTGCATCTTTCATCGCTTATGCGGCAATGACCCTTCAGTGCACTGAACAATTGCCTTGGTTCATATTGTAGCAATAATGACCTTGGACCTCATTGTTGCATTTGTTGTTCCCTTGGCTGTCCTGCTGACATCATCACCTATGATGGGGCATAATAAACACCTTTGAAATTTAGTGTACTCCAAAGAGTATGTTTATAATCTTGTTCTTTTTAGGAAACAGTGGTTCTGCATTTGTGTCTCTTCTGGTATCAAGGACAGGATGTTCTGAGTTCAAAGACCTGTTACCTTGTTGTGCTATGATGACGGTACAACAGAGTAGGAGTGGCCAAAATAAAAACTGCGTTAAACTTTTTAACAAAGGTGGGTCCATATAATTCTAATCCTGAACTGATATATAATCAGATGTTATACAGGGATTATGGCATATATATTAAAACTGAAAATTAATTTTCTTATGTAGACGACTTCCTCGAAGCAACTAAAAAGGAAAAATGGGACCTATTACGTGTGGTTGTCACACAACCATTTAATCAGAGAATGCAGTTTGGAGTTTGTTTTCTGCGTGTGTTCAGTTTTCAGGAAGAGGAAACTGAAAGTACGAAAGTTAATTCAGATTCTTTTTCCAAATTGGAAAAAATGAGGAGTCAAATCAATAGCCCTCTGAGGTAAGTTGAACGCTTAAGATTGAGGTGGGATAAATTAATATCAGGGTTGGCAACAGTCATCATTGATCTCTTCACCGAATACTTATAACATTTTTTTTTAAATAATTAAAAATTTAAACAAAAACTGCAATGTTAAATTTGAAATTCATTGCGCTGATATGATCGTTTAAGTCGATTGGCTCGGTTTTCATCGTAATTAGAAAGTGGTATTATATCGTGTTTATTTTTGCAGCCCACCAAGCTCGAAGTTGGCCGGTCAACAATTCAGTGGTTCACCTCTTACTCGTAAGGATAAGCTCTTTCGTCTGCTGGGTCAGCAGCATAATAAACTCCAGGAAAACAGGAAGACAACTTTGACTAGAGCGAGGGATGAAGAATGTGAAGGTTTATTTGAAGCAGTTGTACTCAGTTTTATGGAGTCTCTAAATCTGTGTGATAAAGATTTGGACAACATTGCATTAATTGATGTACAAAAGAAAATGGAAAAGGTCCATGGTCGAGAGTTGTCACTCGAGGAAAGACATACTTTTTTCACCGTTGTCAAAGATTATGTGATATCATTGAAAGATACAAAATCCAACGATGCGAAGTCGCAACATCTTGACCAAACCATCGAAACGGAGCCGCGTTCCAAAGAGGAGTTTGTAAAACCAAAAGAACTCATTGTCGCTGTAAATTTACCACAACGCGACAGTGGTGCTCGAAAGAAGCTGATTTTGGGGGTAGAATGCAGTGCGAACAGCGGTGGAGACGGAACAGGTTCGATGGATACGCAAAGAGATTACTCCACGGATGCTAGTACGTCCAGGACAAGCTGTTATGATGATCTGAGTCCTGCAGCCAGAAGAAATCTTATTTGTTTAGAGGATTCTGGTCGTACACTTGAATCCATGCGTCATGAAAGAAAAAGGACTGGTAAGGTAGTAGGTTGTTGCAGATGTTTTTTGAATACGTTAGGCCAACAGAAGCCGATGGGACAGGTGAAGAGGAAATTTTCAGAGATTGATGATCCGAGTGAAAATTGCCATGCAGTAGACTGTTACGAGATGGATATTACTGCTAATTTTGATGTTTCAGAACCACAGGAAGTCAATCCTGATGTAGAACGCTGTACAAGAGAAAATTTAGTTGAATGTCCTGTATGTGGCGGTAAGTTAAAATTTTTAGTTTCCGTTTTTTTGAACAAGATGTTTCTTCATAATGTTCTTCGAGTGTGGGTCTCGTGATCTTTCCTCATCAGGAGGAAAGTTAGCTGGTATATTGGTCTTGGACTGTTAGGAGAATTTTTAATTAAATTTCCCCAAATTTAATGTTTACAGTATAGACAAATCCTGATATAGTACCCTCTCTGTATAATGCTGCCCTTACGTTGCACCACAGAAGTCTTGTAACGGAAATTTCGTTCGTAAAATGTCTTCGCTTATGCGAGTCAACATCTGCCAACATGCAAATGGGTTTTCAGCCCAGTGACTCCAAATTAGTAATCTTGTTTCGGAGTTTTTTGGTTTTTGCAATGACTTCAGAAAATGTGAAAGAGAAAGGCTTTTCAGAAGTTGACTAAGAAAATTGTTGCTTGAGATGTGCCAAAATTTAATGACTTTGTGAAACTAATGAAATCATTAAGTTTCTGTGAAGTGCAGTTTCATTGTATTGACACACTTTCTGAAGAATTAATGCATTGGATTTATGAATTTAGAATTATGCTGTGGGTAACCTTGGGGTCTACCAAAACTTTGTAAGTATATTTTAAGTAGTATATAATCTCTACTCATCTTTTCTCATTCATGCTCCTTCACAGTGCATGTCATATCAGTGCAGAAGGATCAGGGCTGTGGAGTCAGAGTTGTGGAGTTGGAAGCAATTTTAGGTGGAGTCGGAGTCGCTAAAAATGAACCGACTCAGACTCCGACCTCCATATAAAATCTTAACAACACTTTCGCTACCGTGTGAGTCGCCAGCGGCCTAACGCTTAGGAAGATTGAGCGACGCGTTGAGGCACGTGGCGTGGGAATAATGCTTTGTATCTTTGGCTCCGATACTCTAAGAATAAAAACTGTCTACAAATAAACTGATTTCTGCAATAACCATTAGATGTATATTTAAATTTAAGTTATAAGTTTAAAAAGTAGGCTTATGATTCACGTGGTGGTGATCAAATCTCTTATGGTGCCATTTACCATTTTAGTAAGTTTACCCTTATTAATACATATTGATCTTTTTTGAAGGAGGCGGGGTCGGAGGTTTTGGTACCGACTCCACAGCCCTGGGGAGGCTGCTTGTTGAAATGTTATTATTGTAACAATATTTGAAATACGTAATGACTCGTGTATTTCTGTGCATTCCAGTATACTTTGAAAGTGATATCATTGAAAACCACTCTTCGGAATGTGTCTCGTTTTCCGACAACCCCGTAACAGAGGATTCTGTTATACAGGAACTGGTAAACTAATAAGATTGATCATTTCTTATGTGTTCATTTATACCTTTTCTTCCTTTTTAATTTATGTGTCTTAATAATTCTGTTTCTTTTTCAGACATGTCCATTGTGCTTAAAGAAGTTCAGCGCGGCAATTATAGATGCACATGCCAACGTTTGTGCCTCACAAATGTTTGGAGATTAAAAATTATTGGAACAAGATGATACCTAAAAAGAAAAGAAACATTAAAATAATTATTTTATTCATTTAAGTGGAACTTCAAACACAAATATTGTAAAATTAGCATCATTACAGCAGAAATTTCAGTTGTATGATGCATTTATCATTTTTCATCATACGCAGTTGTCATCCATGGACATAAGTGAGATATCAGGTTCTCACGGTGGCAAGTATGAAGATTGCTGTATTCTGGGTTGTAGCGCTGTGTAGTCTTTTAGAACTTTGCTGCTGTTGTAAAAGGTGCTACACCCTGATGGCGGAGGCATCAGTAAACTTTTACCAGACTACGCGGTTCTGTAATCCAGGAGACGGCCAATTTCAGAAAACCTGTCTGTTGGGCCCCCTGGTTGAGCTGGTCTCAGATGTGGACCAGGCTAGCTCAATCAGTGGTTATGAAAGTTTTTAGCTACATGTAGCAGACTGTGGTTTCATGAACAGCCATGCAGAACATAAGCCTCAAAATATAATATGTTGATTGTTATAATGGCAGCTGTTCAAGATGTGCAATCAATTGTGAACTGTATCTTATGTTGTTCAGAAATAACTTGGAGAGAAACCTGTCTCAAAATCTCTTTGTCCACCTCAAATGCCATTGGACTGACCTTCCTTCTCCACTTCATAATTGCCTTTTCAGCTTCACAAGTCTGTCCATCGTTTTCTGCTGACTGCCTGTGGTATGGCGTGGCCTTTGTAATGTCTTACTTATGTTGTTTTGTGAATGGAGTAATTGATAAGCTGTACAAATTATCTCCCACACAGGGAACTTTATGTCATTTGAGATACAGTTATATAAGTGCAGGCCTGAGATAACTGAATGTTACTTCACATGCCCTTTTAACTTGGTGTTTTATGGTATGTGGAGGTAAGATTAGGTAACTTGAATATCTTAGGTTATCATATGCAATGAAATCAACTTAGTATGAGGAAAGTTGTTTGGTGATAAATGTAAGGAAAGATTAGGTAGGGTTAGAATGCAGAAGATTTATCAAAGATTCTGTTGGTGTGGGTTGTGTTGGTATTAATTTTAATTATGTTAGATGACAGGTTAAGTTTTATTTAAAAAAATGAAACTGTACATGCCATGTATTAGAATATAAAAATAAGCAAACAAACTGTTACATGTAAATGATTGGTGCCAAACGCATTTCGACAAGGTCGACCTCTTAAGGTCGAAATGCGTTTGATAGTAGTGTCATTTATCAGTTTGCTTATTTTTATATTCTACGTTTTATTTGGGTGAGGTTAAACAAGTTGAAGAAAGCTGCAGTAATATGGTGTAATTTGTAAGTTTACGTAACTTCGAATATCTCAGCACTATGTTAAGGGACCAGTGGGACTTTGGAAATTTCACCGTTTAGTATTACATAAAATGACAAGCCAAATTCTTCCTTATTGCCGTATGGACGGGAGCAAGGCAGTGGAATTATTTTCGACCAATCACAGATGAGTTCATTGAAACTCATGCGTTTCGGTTTAAATAATAGTGAGTAAATAATAAGTAAATCAAAATCGAACCCCTAACATTTGGTATTTTATATTATAGAAATAAATCATATCAATAAAATTTATGAAATTACGGAAGTTTCAGAATCTGCATTTGCTAATTTGTCTTCTGTGATATTGCGCTGTGTAGCCTCGTAGACAGTGACTGACGTATCAGAGTTGCTTACTGTCTACGTAATCAGTGCGAAAAATGTGATTGAACATGGCGGGGTGGATGGAATATTTGAATGTGTGTCAGCTCGTGTGCGGGATACTTCAAGTCTTTGGTTATGTGTGCTATTTAGTGTTTTGCAGAAGAACATAAGTATGTGAGTAAGACATCCAGCATCGATTATTATGGAGTAAAGGTAAGTGAACATGATGTTCTTTATGACAGACCCTCCCGATCATTTTGCATTAGTCTGGTGAGTTGTATTGTGCCACGTTACACGAACGAATTTGTATGACGTCATAACCGTAACCATGTGCCATGTTTCGTCAGTGTCCGCTCTGCCTTTGTCATAACATGACAATAACTAACTTTACATAGCAGATTTAATTATATTTATACTCCTTACTCTTCTGAAGGCCTATACTCTCGCGTAATGTTACTCTCTAATGTGAACACAGTTTTGCCTGCATGTGTTTTGACGTCACAGCAAATACATAAGTGTAATTTAAATATATTTATCTTAATATTTCTAATTTTATATAGTTTTAATACCAACTTAAAAGGTACTGACCAACCCATTATTTCCGAAAGATGAATTTTAACATAATTATCTCATCTACGTTCAGGTCTTCGGAGTGATCTTTTCCCGTCATGCTTTTCAACCGAAATGCAAGATGTCTTCCCAGTAGTTTATTTCTATACTGTTGACAACTTTCCATAAGCGGACAGCACGTATATTCTGGGTGTTACTTCGTATTGTATAGATAATCAGTGGGTATGGATTCTTTGTGTTTGACTGAATCTAACGGTGCGGCATCGGACTAGTATACAGACTAAGGAAGCTTGTGAAGATTACGTGGCATATACACAACGTGTAAAAGTAGTTGCAATCCTATGCCCCAGTAACTGTAGACATAAAATAACATGCGATAGGACGTTGATAAACCGACGATGGACGTTGCGATGCCTATAGTTCCGACGCCGACAACATGGTCGTCACAGTGGGAACGTTATATATTCCGTTTAAAGATAACTTGAGGCTCTGGGCACCATCCCACGCGATTCTGGCAAACCGACGCCGAGGGTCGCCATACACAACGACACAGGCAACCCGACGCCCAACATCGTGATGCCATTGGTCCCACTGCCGTCACAAGATTTAAAATGACGATGATCGGAACCCGATTCCTAGCGTCCAAATGCCTATCTTCGCGACGCCGACATATTCTGAATGAAGTGAAGAAAATGAATGTCTCGACGCCTATCCTCCTATGACTAAACTGTTGATATGCAGCAACTTAGTGATTTTGTTTAAATGTCCTTTGTAAGTCGGGGAAAAAAACTTTGTTGTTAAAATTTTTCCGTAGATGTTCAGACTTTGTGTGTCCTGTGAGCTGAAACGTGAGGTTTGTTTGAATCGTCGCTAGATGTCAGGACCGCATCAATATAGACATCGGATCAATACTACGCTATTATTTATTGGGCTGGGACAGAAACTGATGATTTTGTGGGCTATAGCTGGTCATGAGCTTCAAGTTTCTCATCACTTTGCGTGGATAACAGTTTTATGTCAAGGCTTAAAATACCATGCAGAATAATTTCAAAAATTTATTCTCGTAATTATACACAGTGATTTCTATCACCTTAGTGAGGAGTGTATGGATGGATATCCATTTTGCTTAAGACCGAATAACGTTATTAAATCGTATCTAATCCCACCATTAAGTATTGTTTGAGTTAGTGCTTCAAACAGATCAGGTCTGCCGTTGTAATCCTTTGTGTGTTTATAACCTGCATCACTTCAAAATATAATGTACATTTTAACAAAATTTAACTACGTAACGTATTAAGTAGGACATTTCTTGAATACCCAACATAGACTATTTTATATAGTAAATGTCTCTATGATCCATTTTAATTTCAACTTTACTTCTGCATGTGGATCTCTCAAGTGTCTTTTCCTTGAGGTTTTGCCGACTTAAATTTTGTGTACATTTTTTTTCTCCTCCGTCGCGTGTTATATGTCCGACATCTGTCATTCTTCGTGACTTTTATTCTAACAATATTCTATAAGGCAAACGTTCTGAAGTGTGACGTTCGTCATAAATAATTTTCTATATTATTATTTTTCTTTCTTTCTTTTTGGATGAAAATATCAGCGTTCTGCTTGCAGTCACTGCCATTAAGAGACCAAGTTTTACACCCACATAGAACTCGTCTTTGCTTATGACAGGGTTGGTTGTAAAGGAGTCTTACCAACTTTTGAAATATGTGAACTGTACCGCGTATGGTTTCATTACGAAATGCGTATGGTTAGCGCAAATATTTGCTGCCTCTGTACACACAATTACAGCTGATGGATCTTATTAGAGCAACGTACGTAGTTTACGGTTATCTGCGTGCAGTTAAAATCCCGAGTACACTATCTTTATGTTAAAAAATAATTTTTTTTTTTAAAAAAGGCACACAAGTGAAACGTGTCTTAAATTACTTAAAGCGAGACCCATAGCCTGGCGTGTAAACTTTTAAGCTATGTCCACGTGGAGATAAGACACGCTACCACAGTTTTAGGTAAACGCGGAGCTAAAAATGTAGCATGGCCACGCATCGTAAGCGGCAAGTGGTCGTGATACCGCAATAGGGGGGGTGTTTAATATAATGTGGCGGGCTCGTTCGGCATTGCAGGTCTCTGCAAGAGTTTAAGGATAACAACAGCGAATATATATGTATATTTTTTTTCTTTTGGTGTCGGATCTGGTGGATTTATTCGGTGTTTGATAGGTGAAAGGAACTTTTCAAGGCGTAAAAATTTAGACATTTGTGACTTTTTTAAATTAATGAAATCGTTCGTTGCCATAGAAACTGACATAAGAAGGCTTTATGACTTGAAGGGTAGATGACTTCTGATTGTCTACAGGGAAACTACGCAATATGACTTGACTGTCTCGTGTTTATTGAGACAAGTGTGTTATGGCTAAAATATGCAGAAAATTAATTGCGATGTGGAGTCTACCTTATATATTGGCATGATTATCCCACGAGATTCTGTTGGTCCTGTGAGTTGCTACACATTTTACTATTTAAAGTTTAAGACTTTTATTTTTTTTTCTTACGTTTGTGTTCCTGATTCATATAAAAAAAATCTGCCAAATGTAATTTCTGCAGTTTTTGTCCATGACTTCAGAACTGTAGACCCATTTAATCTAGTGTTGGCTATAATTTTATAAAACTGGTTGTTTCTTTCCTTAACTTTTTACTTAACACTGTTCTAATTTTTCCACGCATTTGAAATTTAACTCTTTCTCTGTAGCTTAATTATCACAGGTCTGTATGAAAAATTCTGCAGAATTTAATTTCCATGACTTCAGAACTGTAGACCCATTTAATCTAGTGTTGGCTATAATTTTATAAAACTGATTGTTTCTTTCCTTAACTTTTTACTTAACACTGTTCTAATTTTTCCACGCATTTGAAATTTAACTTTTCTCTGTAGCTTAATTTCCACAGGTCTGCATGCCTATGGAGCTATTAAGAGATATCCTAATTAATTCAAATAATGCACCTGTGGAATCTGTGGCACTCATAGTCTTAATGATGACGATGATGTACATAACATACTAACGTTTTGGACACACGTCTTCAGCTCTGAAGCTTATGGGCTCTGGGTCACACTGGTTCACCTTTATTACATTCATGCACTGGAATTTAATTTGAAGCTAAGCTTAGTTAGTGTCTCGTCCTGTGTCTACCCCAACGCTTGAACATCGATCATAACTGAATTGTATACGTCACTGTTCACTTAGTTTTCACACACTCGCCCTAACACAAGTTTGTTACTAAATAATGTTTTACTCATTCTTGATGTTTGCACAGGACACGCTGTTTAATGTTGAGCTGACATTACAG